CGATCCTGACGGGGCTCAAGGTTGACTCAGCCTTCCATCCTTCCAGGGTCAGTAAAATGAGGACCCATATTGTTGGGGGACAATAGGCTGACTCTGTAAACTGCCCAGAGAGTGTTGTGAAGCACTATTGGGCAGTACATAAGCCCAAATATTATTGCTATTGCTATCAACGCAGCCACATTCTACATCAGCTGAAGTTTCCAAATGCTTTCCAGGGCCAGCCCCATGTTGAATGTGTTACAGTAGTCTAAAAGTAGAGGGGAGACATGATAGCAGTGTTCCAGTATCTCAGGGTTTGCCCCAAAGAAGAGGGAGTCAAACTATTCTCCAAAGCGCCTGAAAGCAGGACAAGAAGCAATGGATGGAAACTCACCAAGGAGAGAAGCAACCTGGAACTAAGGAGAAACTTCCTGACAGTGAGAACAATTAACCAGTGGAACTACCTGCCTCCAAAAGCGGTGAATGCTCCAACACTGGAGGTTTTTAAGAAGACACTGGACAGCCATTTGTCCAAAATGGTATAGGGTTTCCTGCCTGAGCAGGGGGCTGGACTAGATGACCTCCAAGGTCCCTTCCAACTTTTTATTATTATTATTATTATTATTATTATTATTATTATTATTATTATGGATCATCACACAGTCAGCCAGATGTTCAGACTGGATGTGGCATTTTGTCTACCTATCGAGTCCTTACCCAGGCCCTGGGATAGGCAGATGTCGATGTTTGATGGTATTACAGATATCGTCGCAGGATGGAAGCAGTTCCTAGTAAGGCCGCCTTTTGCAATTGACTAATAGCGAATTTGTCAATGCCAATGGTGTTCAAGTGGTGCTCCAGTTATTTTTGGATTGCACCCAAGGAGCCTATGACTATTGGTACTACCCTTGCTTGCTTTTGCCACAGTCTTCCTATTTCTATTTGTAGGTCTTTGTATTTTGTTATCTTCTCCAGTTCTTTCTCTTCTATTCTGCTGTCTCCAGGCACTGCCACGTCCACTATCCAGACTTTTTTGTCTTTCTTATCGACAATTGTTAAGTCTGGGGTGTTATGTTGCAGGTGCTTGTCTGATGATGATGATGATTAGGTTACAAGGGCATTTAATTTTACATTTGAGATGAAGACCCCATCTATGGCAGCATCCAGCATAGTTCTTGATATTTAGCTAATAAATGAATCCTACCACACTTGACAACTAAATCAAAGTAGGTAAGGTAAAAGAAAATACACCAACCGTTAGAACTTAGAAGCTACGCTCTTTGGAAACCCCGTCCTCCAGGTGTTTAAAGCAGAGTCTCCAAAATCTCAAAGGCCGCCTTCTATCCAAGTCTGAAAGCTGGGGGAATCCTCCACTGGATTGCCAGTTGTTAAATCACACACACAACCCTGTCCTTTGCCTAGTCTGGTCCCAAGCTATTTAAGGCCGTGGAAGTCAAAACCAGATTTTTGAACTGAGTCCAGAGGAAAACCAGAAGCCAGCGGGGAACCTAATTAAGGTGGTAAACTTGACATTTTTTTTTTAACTTTGAAATGCGTGACCTGCTTTGATTGCTAAAGTATATATTGGGAACGTTCTATGAAAATATATCGTGATTTGAGGAAAAGTTCTGTGAAAAACTTTAAAAGGATGTTGAACGCTAAAGTGGTTGTTTTGGAAAAAATAGGATGAAGTGCATTCTGTTGAAGATAATCAGCTCAGTCCCATAGAAAAGTAGCTTGTGATTTCAAGGGCTGTGCAGGAATTCACCACAAGGGCTTCAAAGCATCTGGAGGGCATTTTTGGAAGACACAACGATGTCAGGACTATTATGATCACATAACGCAAATCACACACAAGTCACTTGCTGGGCCGTATGGATGACCCGGTCCTGGGGTGCAAACATAATCCTTGCCTACTATTCCTCAAAGCATATGCATTTATTCCTGGCTTCGTTGACCCCCCCCCCGTCTCAAAGTAGAACACTCAATAAATGGCCAATTTTTTTAAAAAAACAGTCATCCCTGTATTTTTGTGGCTGGTAAGATCTGCAATCCAGGCTGAGTTTTGCAGGGAATCAGGCATTTTTGCAGAGAATAAATCCATGCACCACATCCATCTTCCACACTTCCTACAAATCTGATGTTACAATGTTAGATTCATCAATAGGGACTTTACAGAAAGGCTGGGAAAACTAGTAGCGTTAGCTGGGGAAAGGCTTAACATAGATATGGCTTGAACTTGGTCTGACCAATGCTTCAGACGTGCCTGGTCTTTTCACTAATATAATAATTTTGACAAGGATGAGTTGTCCCTTTGGGACAATATGATCTGGATGACTGAGAATCTCCATAGACTGGAGGAAAGGAACTGGAAGTGCCAGCCTGGAAAGAGCCTGGCGGATACGGGACCCAAGCATGAGAATGAAATACCAACACCCACCAAAGAGGTGCCAGACTTTAGGACTTGTTACCAAAACCCCTAGACCAGGGGTTCTCAACCTTTTTAATGCCGCGACCCCCAACCGGTTGTACGTCGAGGACTACTCAACCGGTCGCAAGTCGAGGACTACTCAACTGGTGCAGCACCGTTTGCAGACTGGGACTTTTGGCGGGCTCAGCAGGGCAGAGACAGCCTGGACCATTCCTGTTGGCTTTTGAAAGCCAATAGAACTAGACTCTATTCAAGAGAGTCTCTTCTATTGGCTTTCAAAAGCCAATAGAATAAAAGGGAGTAGCACAGCTAAGGAAAAGGGGGAAAAAAATGGCGGACTGCATTGTTTGGCGACCCCCGTGAAATGGTCGTTCGACCTCAAATGGGGTCCCGACCCACAGGGTGAGAACCGCTGCACTAGACTGAGCCCCCTTGGGCATTTACGAAAGGACCGGGGGGGGGGGGCAGGAGAAGGGTAAAGCCATGGGTTTATGCAGGAACATTCAGATACGGCTTGTGAGGCTTGGTGTCTAAGCCTATATGTCCGTTCTAGTGGTACAAACCATGTTTTGTGTGTGTGTGTGTGTGTGTGCTAGCAAGGTGTGTCATTCAGACATGAAGTTGGCATATAAGCCAATCCTGTTCTGAAAAGCGAGGTAAGATCTGGAAAGAGCCAATGATGGACTGGAGCAGGGTTTCCCGACGTCGGGAACTTTAAGATGCGTGGACTTCAACTCCCAGAATTCCCCAGCCAGCTAAGGAATTCTGGGAGTTGAAGTCCACGCATCTTAAAGTCCCCAAGGTCGAGAAACGCTGGACTAGAGCAGTGTTTCTCAACCTTGACCATTTTAAGGCATGTGGACTTCAATTCCCAGAATTCCACAGCCAGCATTGCTGGCTGTGGAATTCTGGGAGTTGAAGTCCACAAGCCTTAAAATGGTCAAGGTTGAGAAACGCTGGACTAGAGAGTGGACTATCTCAGATAAGAGAGCTTTGTATTTCTGTTATTAATGAGTTTACCCCTTTCTGAAGGTCTCCGCTAACTTTGCTTGTCAGAATATCACAAAAGGGGATCACGTGACGCTGGGACGGTGCAACCATCGTAAATACGAGTCAGTTGTCAAGCAGCCAAAATTTGATCGTGCACGAGGATGCTGCAAACGGACGTAAGTGTGCAAAACAGCCACCGGTTGCTTTTTCCGGTGCTAGTGTAACTCTGAATAGTCACTAAACGGACGGTCAGACGTAGAGGACCACCCGTGCAGCAGAGTGAAAAGCTGCACCACAAATATCACAAAAAAATAAACTGGGGACGTTTCTCAAGGTCTTCTTTTACAACGGATAATCCCGCCCCCAAAGTAGAAAGGAACCAGATAGATTTCGTGGAACAAAATGAACTTCCCTTGACCGTTAACGCAAAATGATTTTTGTTTTTTAAGAAGGCATCATTAATGGCTGCCCAACAACAAAATATTTCCTTAATACCACAGGTTTGGCAACAGCCAAGTCTGAAGCTTTTCCAGAAATTCTGTGAAATGTTTTACTTAGCTTGGCGTGAAGCAGCATAGAGCAACTTTAATTTTACACATAATTTGGGGGGGATTGTAGAGAGTATACATGGCTCAGAACTGGATTTTTGGAATTTGGTTTTTCACTTCTAGATATTTTCTTACCTACCTAAGTAGGCAGATGTAGGAGTTGTTCTAATATTCATTTCATTAACATTTTGTTCTGTGTTTATCTGTGTGCGTGGATGTGCATGCACGTCTATGTGTGTTTGTGTGTGGGTGAATTCTCATGCATGATACATAGACAGACAGACAGACACAGACATATAATACATAGATAGACAGACAGATGGCAGAGATAGATAGATAGATAGATAGATAGATAGATAGATAGATAGATAGATAGATAGATAGATAGATAGACAGATGATATAGCCAAATGATATAGATAGATTGATGATAGAGATAGATAGATGATATAGGAATAGCAACAGCATAGAGATAGATAGATAGATAGATAGATAGATAGATAGATAGATAGATAGATAGATAGATAGATAGATGATACAGATGATAGATGAATAGATTGATGATAGAAATAGATAGATAGATGATATAGCAATAGCAAAGCAATAGCATAGATAGATAGATAGATAGATAGATAGATAGATAGATAGATAGATATAGTTTTGCTTTCATACGTGCCAAAATGATGTACTCAATAAAGTTTTACATTAAGAAATTGGAATATCTTGAAGGTGTTTGCTTGGTTGGGTTCGTCAGTCAGAACCTTGACATTTAACCAGTTCTGGTAAACACAAGCCCAAGCCCCATTAGTAAAAGTATAGAATTCCTCCTCCCATCCATGAACAGGTCACATTATACCCAATTAGGTACAATTATATTGTTTTGAGAAAATATCTCTGAGTCAGGTCAGACATCTGGTGAATCGTCCTTGATTCTCACGGACACCTACCCAACCAAGCCATCTAGCAATTCTAAGCAGGTTTTGAGCCAACTCTTTGCATAATTCTCTCCAGCTCCAAAATTGGGACCACTCTTGTCTTCAAGATATCACTTACTCTTTTCTGCTCCTTGATGTATTCCATCAATTCTTCCCTCGTTTGCTTCACAGCTTCTTCTACAGCTTTTTCACTTTTCTTTTGTTCTTCTAGGATTGCTACTTTTACCATTTCCTAATATTTTAACACACACACATACACATATATATTTAGAAAAAAGAGTAGTTAGGGTAATAATGTGCTTATTTTGCTTCAACATTTTCAGCACCGCACAGGCTACCTCAGTTTTCTCCCACCCCATGAATACCTCCTTTAACAGTATTCTTAACTCTGAAAATCCTGAAGATGTGTGAACTTCAACTACCAGAATTTGTAAATGAGCCCACTGGCTGGGGCATTCTGGGAGTTGAAGTCTACCCATCTTTAAGATGAGAAGCACAAGTCTAAAATGTGATGCCAAGACATTCTACGTTTCTCGTTTCTGTCTTGACTGATCCCCCAAAGCTAAGTAGGATTAGACCTGGTTAATATTTGAATGGTAGATTGTGTTGTTTAGAACCAATCTAGGCCTTTAATCGAGATCAACCTTAGCAACTTGAAGATGGGTGAGGTTCAATTCCCAGAATTCCCCAGCCAGCACAGCTGGCTGGGAAATTCTGGGAGTTCAACTCCACCCATCTTCAAGTTGCTAAGGCTTAAAAACACCGATCTAAGATATTAAATGGAACTGTCTCTAAGAATCATTTATTCAAGGAGAGTACTGCCCCTTACAGACATCTCAAAAGTGCTTTCTCCCCAAAAAAAGCAACTGGACTTTCTTGGCTTTATTTCTCTTTGAAGAAAATGTCAGAATTCAGAATTCATTCTTCAGACTGTATTCCATTTTGGTCACCACCATGTAAAAAAGAGGTTGAGACTCTAGAAAGAGTGCAGAGAAGAGCAACAAAGATGATCAGGGGACTGGAGGCTAAAGCATATAAGGAACGGTTGCTGGAATTGGGTAGGTCTAGTTTAATGAAGAGAAGGACTAGGGGGGGACAGGATAGCAGTCTTCCAGTATCTCAGGGGCTGCCCCAAAGAAGAGGGAGTCAAGCTATTCTCCAAAGCGCCTGAGGGCAGGACAAGAAGCAACAGATGGAAACTAAGCAAGGAAAGAAGCAACCTGGAATTAAGGAGAAACTTCCAGACAGTGAGAACAATTAACCAGTGGAACAACCTGCCTCCAGAAGCAGTGAATGCTCCAACACTGGACGTTTTTAAGAAGAGACTGGACAGCCATTTGTCTAATATGGTATAGGGTTTCCTGCCTGAGCAGCAGGTTGGACTAGATGACCTCCAAGGTCCCTTCCAACTTTATTATTATGGATCATCGCACAGTCAGCCAGATGTTCAGACTGGATTTGGCATTTTGTATACCTATCGAGTCCTTACCCAGGACCTGGGATAGGCAAATGTGGATGTTTGATGGTATTACAGATATCGTCGCAGGATGGAAGCAGTTCCTAGTAAGGCTGCCTTTTGCAATTGACTAATAGCGAATTTGTCAATGCCAATGGTGTTCAAGTGGTGCTCCAGTTGTTTTGGGATTGCACCCAAGGAGCCTATTACTATTGGTACTACCCTTGCTTGCTTTTGCCACAGTCTTATTATTTCTATTTGTAGGTCTTTGTATTTTGTTATCTTTTCCAGTTCTTTCTCGTCTATTCTGCTGTCTCCAGACACTGCCACGTCCACTATCCAGACTTTCTTTCTTATTGACAATTGTTAAGTCTGGGGTGTTATGTTGCAGGTGCTTGTCTGCTTGAATTCTGAAGTCCCAGAGCAGTTTAATTTTATCATTTTCTACGACTTTCTCTATTTTATGATCCCACCAGTTTTTGCTTATAGACAAATGATATTTTTTGCAGATCTTCCAATGCACCATTGTTGCTACTTTGTCATGCCGCTGTTTGTAGTCAGTCTGTGCAATCTTCTTGCAACAGCTTACCAGGTGGTCCACTGTTTCTTCAGCTTCTTTGCATAGGCGGCACTTACTATCTGTTGCTGTCTTCTCAATTTTGACTTTATATGCATGTGTCCTTAAGGCTTGGTCTTGTGCAGCCAGAATTAGTCCCTCGGTCTCTTTCTTCAATTTTCCTGCTCTTAGCCATTGCCAGGTCTTGTTATTATCTGCTTTCCCGGTTATTTTTTTAATGTATTGGCCATGTAGTGCTTTGTCTTCCTATGCCTCTATTCTGTTCTTCATTTGGTCTTTCTTGTAGGCCAGTTTGGTCCTCCAGTAGTCAGTAAGCCTTCCTGATATACTAATTTCAGTGCATCTTCATCATTGTTCTTCTTCTTCTTATTGTTGTTGTTATTATTATTATTATTATTATACGCCTCTTGGATAAGAAGCAAACCCTTTTCAAAGGAAAAAAAAACGCAAGGAAGTCCAATTGCCTTTTGGAAATAAAGCACCTTTGAGACACCCAAGACCTGGATGGTTGAGAATCTCCACAGATATTTCCCCTCCAAGAAAAAAAACACAGGTTAGACACCACAGCCCAGAAGACTGAACAACAACAACAACAAAAGGCAGTCGTGGTGAACCATCCTGCAACATCTATCCCCGTCTGTACAGCTCCTGGGTTTTATTCTAATTCCAGTAATCGCCGAGATTTATTGACCATTATTACCGCATAGAAGAACGGATCTTTCTCCCACAGTCGTGCATACCTATCGATGATTTCCTACGTGCAATATAAGCAGTTTACAGGATGAGTGGGAACATTCACAGGTGAGGTCATAAGGCTGCCAACAAAAGAGATGGGATCAGCCGGAAAGCTGAAAATCTGGGCTCTAAGCTGCAAAAGGAAGACGGAGCTATCGCTGTACGAAGGGCTTCATTTCTGCAAGCTAAACACTTTATAAATGAAGATGGTAGAGGACAGGAAAACCTGGAGGAACATTGTCCATGGGGTCGCGATGGGTCAGACACGACTTCGCAATTAACAACAAATGCCTATGGAGACTCTCAGTCATAGTTATCCCAAAGATGCTTTTTCAGGAAGCAACGGGACTTTCTTGTTTTTCTTTGAAGACATTTCTTCTTAAAAACTTCCAGTGTTGGAGCATCCACAACTTCCAGAGACAGATTGTTCCATTGATTAATTTCTCCTTAGTTCTAGGTTGCTTCTCTCTTTGGTTAGTTTCCATCCATTGCTTCTTGCCCTGCCTTCAGGTGCTTTGGAGAATAGCTTGACTCCCTCTTCTTTGGGGCAGCCCCTCAAATATTGCAAGGCTGCTATCATGTCACCCCTAATCCCTCTATTCGCTGAACTAGACACACCCAATTCCAGCAACCGTTCTTTATATGTTTTAGCCTCCAGTCCTCTTTGTTGCTCTTCTCTGCCCTCTTTCTAGAGTCTCAACATCTTTTTTACATCATGGGGACCAAAACTGGATGCAGGATTCCAGGTGTGGCCTTACCAAGGCCTTGTAAAGTGGTATTAACCCTTCACGTAATGGCACCAAAATTTCCACTCCTTTCCATCTGTGTCCAGAAGAAGGAAAAGAATGTACTTTTTAGATAATCTCAATTGGTTGCTTTATTTGTTCATTTCCCCCCGTTGCTTACATTTGGATGGATTATTTGGGAACTCGTCACAGATCCTCTTCAAAAAGTAAGTTATAAAAACAATCCCAGTTATATTTTCTGAGAAATTGCACCCATCTAAATGTAACTGCCAATTTACTTTCTTTCTTTTTTAGGGAGTTTTGTTTTTCTTGCTGAATTAGGATGTAGGTGGTTCCCAACATCTGTATCTTATGTAACTTTATTCCATACAGATGGAGTAAACATTTAATATATACAAACAATAAGAAAGGGGATTGGGTGCTCCACTGTATTCTTTTCAGGGAGTAGCACACAAATGGTTTGAATTAAAAACAATCGAGTTGAAGGAAGGATCCAGAAATGACTTTTTCCAACAGTGCAAAAAATTGGCCTTTGCATTTAAAGGTCCCTGTCAAATCTAAGCAAGGTGCTAAAAATAGAACAGAAACAGTAGAATTTTACCAGCACCCCATCCTGATTGCAAAGACTTTTCAGTGTCTGCTATAAAAATCATGAAACAGTAGAGGAAACGCCAGCATATTATCGTAATCAGAAAAAAGTTTCTTATTTTAGGAAGTTAAGTTTTCTTTCAACTTTATTGCATTCCAGAAGGACTAAGGAGACTATCCGAGGCTTTCCTTTGAATAAAATAGGCTTCCCTTCATAATTTGCTCTGATCCACCTGGATAACATATGTTTCAAAATGGAAATTGCAGCAAAAGAAACAAACAGACTTCTGGATTTATTTAAACCGTTCAGCTGCTGCAGACACGGCTCTCCAAAATCTTCTCTTCTAGGTTGCTTCTCTCCTTGGTTAGTTTCCATCCGTTGCTTCTTGTTCTGCCTTCAGGGGCTTTGGAGAAGAGCTTGACTCCCTCTTCTTTGGGGCAGCCCCTGAGATACTGGAGCACTGCTATCCTGTCCCCCCTCGTCCTTCTTTTCATTAAACTAGACATACCCAATTCCAGCAATTGTTCCTTATATGTTTTGGCCTCCAGCCCCCTAACCATCTTTGTTGGGCTGTTAGTTTGATCTCCGAGCTTGATGATTTGGCTGCAAATGTTTCATCTCTGTCTGGGGGGGAGGAGACATCTTCAGTGCACTTTGAGCACTGGCCTTTAAATACCTTTTTGTGCGATGTAAACCGGACCACGTCTCGACAACGACAGCCAGCCAATCAAACAACCCAAAACCAGACTATGATTCAGAGGCAACCAAACAAACCAACACCATTTGCAGCACACAGACCATACTTAAACACCAAGGACTATGGCCCAGCAACAAAAAACCAGCCAATCAATAGCTGAATCCAGACCGTGGCTCAGAAACATCCGGATAAATAACACCCACACCGATTTACATAGATTGGGCAGGTAGGTCCATAAACATAAAACGTAGAACATATAATTCACTAACTTCGGATTTCTGTTTTTGTCGTTCCACTGCTTCTTCTACCACTTGAGCAATCTTCCCACGATCTTTGTCTCTCTCTGCTTGCCATAATTCTTTTTCTTGGTCGTGCGTTTTTTCCATGCTTTCCCTTTCAGCCGTTACCGCTGTTAGGATGGCAGCCTGCATATCCTCTTTTTCAAGCTGCGCATCAAATAACAAAGTCAACGTGAATCTAAAATACGGGCATTTCAGCAATTTGGGTCAGTAGCCAAAATGTTGTCTATAATCCCTAAAATGTCAAAAGGTTGTTTTGAGAAAAGGCCCTCAAGTTTATTTAAACTAATTCCGAAGATTGGGTTAATTTTGGAAACTGAAAACATTGTTCCCTGCAACACAGGATTTCCAGTTTCCATCTTTCTTTAAAATAGTTCTTGGGAGATTCTCTGAATAAGTGCTTTTAGACTGAACACGTCTGCAGTAAAAACCAATTGAACGAATTATGAACATCAGCCAAAGATTAGTTCCACTTAGTGGGCTATAAAAACTGTATTCTCTGTTCATACAGTATGATAGTCTTTTCTTGCTAGCCACAAAATAACAGGGCAGGGACAGGAAATATTATTTTCAGCACAGCTAGTGGGCATTATATGGTAAGGACAAATGTGAAGAAGGGCCCTTTTTTCCACAGTTCGTGTCCTCACCTACATAACAGGAGAAGTGATGCCATAGGCTGGGAGTTATCTCAGGATCAGAAAGTAAAATGTAACAATGGCACACAATAATAATAAACATTATATATATTATATTATAATATAAAGTAATTAATATAATAAAAGTATATGTTTTATATATATTTACATAAAAATTAATATAATATATACATATCCATTATAATAATAATATAATTAATATAATATATTATTATATATTAATAAATATATAATAATAAATGTAGGGCATTGCATTATAATAAAATTATATCTGCTATATATGTATTTATAAATATATATATATATTTATAAATATATAAATTAAGATAAGATATAAAATATATCCATTATATTAAGGAAATAATATAATTAATATATTATAATTCTATCTATCTATCTATCTATCTATCTATCTATCTATCTATCTATCTATCTATCTATCTATCTATCTATCTCTATCTATCTATCTACCTACCTACCTACCTACCTACCTACCTACCTATCTATCTATCTATCTATCTATCTATCTATCTATCTATAAAAATGAGCCGAGCTTTCATTGGGACCACCCAACATCGTCAGGGCTTTAAAAGTAGTCACTGGGAAGGAGCCTTTATACGATGTTAGCAGCCTGTATCTGGCTTCTGGAATGTGTGATTGGACCCAGCTGATCGTGCCGTGACTCAGATACACCATCTACGTCAATGCATGATGTTTTCCCATGTCTCGGAGGAGACATGGGAAAACATCATGCATTGACGTAGGTGGTGTATCTGAAAACAGTAAAATACGGAGGAGACACGGGAAAACCTCATGCATTGACGTAGGTGGTGTATCTGAGTCACGGCACGATCAGCTGGGTCCAATCACACATTCTAGAAGCTGGATACAGGCTACTAACATCGTATAAAGGCTCCTTCCCAGTGACTACTTTTAAAGCTCTGACGATGTTGGGTGGTCCCAACGAAAGCTCGGCTCATTAAATAATTTTTTACTACTTTCCTCTTGGTGATCGGTATTTATTGGTTTTATTATGGACGTACCCAAGAGTCGAATTTTTAGCTTTATAACTCATATATATATATGTGTGTATGTGTGTATGTGTGTATGTGTATATGTATATATGTATATGTATGTGTATATGTGTATATGTATATATGTATATATGTATATGTATATGTAATAATAAATATAGGGCATTGCATTATATTATAATATAATATAATTATATCTGTTATATACATTAATATAAGATATATAATATATCCATTGTGTTGAGAAAATAATATAATTAATAATAACTATAGGACATTGCATTATAATATAATAAAATTATATCTGTTTTATATTTATTTATTTATATATATATTTATATTTATAAATATATAAGTTAATATAAGATATCTATCCATTGTAATAAGAAAATAATATAATTAATATAATATATTATTGTATAATAATAAATACATGTAATAATAAATATAGGGCATGGCATGCAAAAACAACTAGACACCAAGTTTTTTCCCTTATGCCATCACTCTGCTAAATCCCTAATTCCCACCACACCGTCTTGTGTGTAAGGATATTTACCCATGTAGTAGGGCTGTATTGCCATTATCCTTCTCATCCTTCCTATTACCTTCTCGTATTGGTATCATATATCACTTTTTGTATCTTATGATTTATCACTCTGTTGTTTCTATGTACACTGAGAGCTTATGTGTGTCCGATCCCACCTGGCCAATAAGGAATTAATTTTATTCTATCCTCAACCTAAATTGATTGGTCAAAATAGCTTCTTCTCAAAATATCCACTAGGTAAAGCTTTTCAGAGGGGACAGCCCCCATCTAAAGTTCTCAGTGCTTTTTAGGAGGGAAACTGAAGGGCAACAGAAGAAGTTTTCACCTACTTCTAGCAGTTTTGTTTTAGTCCTAGTATAGTTTGATAAGAGGTATCAAGAAGAATAAAAACTCAGCATAACAATGAAAAAAATCCCTCTCATTAAGAACTCCTGATTCCAGATGTTGACTTGGTGCAGCCCCATCAACATCAAAGGGAGCTTCAAGAGGTCCCCCCAGAGACAGTTTTTGCATGCTAAGATACCTTTGCTGCAGCTGCCAAAGCCTCCTTATTACGTTCCCTTTCATTCTCCATGCATTTTTCCAACATTTCCTGGAAACAAAGCACAGTGAAAAGTATTACAGCTCGTAAAAACAAAAAAAAATATCTTCCCAAAAACATGGATGTCCACAGAAGCCAGAGGCTTTCTCAGAATGATAATAATAATAATAATAATAGTAAAGTTGGAAGGGACCTTGGAGGTCATCTAGTCCAACCCTCTGCTCAGGCAGGAAACCCTATACCATTTCGGACAAAGGGCTGTCCAGTCTCTTCTTAAAAACCTCCAGTGTTGGAGCATTCACCACTTCTGGAAGCGAGAAGCTCCACTGGTTCCTTGTTCTAACTGTCAGGAAGTTTCTCCTTAGTTGCTTCTCTCCTTGCTTAGTTTCCACCTGTTGCTTCTTGTCCTGCCTTCAGGCGCCTTGGAGAATAGCTTGACTTCTTCTTCTTTGGGGCAACCCCCGAGATATTGGAACACTGCTATCCTGTCCCCCCTCGTCCTTCTGAAAGGTGCCTTGTAATCTCCTGTGACACAACAACACAACCACAAAAGAGGCAGAGCCCATTTCATTATTTGCTCATCACCTTGCTTCTCTCACAAATAGACATCTTCCAAAGGATTTAGTTCATGGTTTTTTTCTTTCTTTCTAGACGATCTAAGCCTTCTTAAGACGACACGCCATTCCTTCCAGATTACGCTATCTGGAAGGACCACAGCTGGCCAACCAGATGCTGGAAAGGAATTTGGAGTCGGTGTCGATGCTCGAATCTGAAGTCAGCTGAAGTGAGCGAGACGCAACCCATTTGTAGTCTAGCGATGAATCCAACTAGGAAAATGAAGTTCATTCCCTTCCCCTGAGACGCCAGAATTAGACAACATCCCTCTAGAAAAATCTTCTGGATTCTTTTTCAGGATTCTTATAGGGAAGGATGACACACTCAGCTGTCTTGTCACAGAGTATTATTTTCAGGGCCACAGCAAGGCAGGTGAGACCAGCATAAATACGTTTGCTGTCATGTTTATTAACTTTTTGTCCCAATTTTACATATAAGCTGTTTTGGGGGGAGGCCCTTTGCCCTAAAATGCAGCCTAGAAATAGTTAATATCAATTGAAGATTATTTAAGTCAATAATGATTGATAAGGTGAGACAAGGACAGCCATTTGTCCAAAATGGTGTAAGGTTTCCTGCCTGAGGAGGGGGTTGGACTCAATGAGCTCCCTTCCAACATTATTATTATTATTATGGATCATCGCACAGCCAGATGTTCAGACTGGATTTGGCATTTTGTCTACCTATCGAGTCCTTACCCAGGACCTGGGATAGGCATATGTTGATGTTTGATGGTATTACAGATATCGTCGCAGGATGGAAGCAGTTCCTAATAAGGCCGCCTTTTGCAATTGACTAATAGCGAATTTGTCAATGCCGATGATGGTGTTCAAGTGGTGCTCCAGTTGTTTTGGGATTGCACCCAAGGAGCCTATGACTATTGGTACTACCCTTGCTTGCTTTTGGCACAGTCTTTCTATTTCTATTTGTAGGTCTTTGTATTTTGTTATCTTCTCCAGTTCGTTCTCTTCTATTCTGCTATCTCCAGGCACTGCCACGTCCACTATCCAGACTTTTTTGTCTTTCTTATCGACAATTGTTAAGTCTGGGGTGTTATGTTGCAGGTGCTTGTCTGTTTGAATTCTGAAGTCCCAGAGCAGTTTAATTTTATCATTTTTCTATGACTTTCTCTATTTTATGATCCCACCAGTTTTTGCTTACAGGCAAATAATATTTTTTGCAGATCTTCCAATGCACCATTGTTGCTACTTTGTCATGCCGCTGCTTGTAGTCAGTCTGGGCGATCTTCTTGCAACAGCTTACCAGGTGATCCACTGTTTCTTCAGATTATTATTATTATTATTACTACTACTACTACTACTACTACTACTACTACTACTACTACTACTACTATCCCGCAGGGATGGAGAGACAAACTCTGTTCTTAAAAAGAAAAGCGAAATGAAGAAAAAAGGGAATTTTCTTGGTGGAAGTAAGTTGCACCAGGTTAGCTTTTACAATTGCATCTCAGGTCCTGCGTGTCTATTTCTTCTCTTAGATCAGGAGTGCAGAACTATGACCCTTTTAGGACCTGTGGACTGAGCTTGGCTGGCTCAGGCATTCTGGGAGTTGAAGTCCACAGGTCCTGAAAGGGCCATAGTTCGCCATCTCTGTCTTGGATGAACCCAGTCTGAGGAGATCTACTTTTGCCTTGGACCCCTCTTCATGGTTCAAGGCCTTTGATGCTTAGACGTTAAGTCCTTGTGAAAGAAAATATCGCTTGACCTCTGAAAGATTCTTTTGGGCTCTCAATGACCCCTCTTTCTAAATGGTGTCAAGATTTTGCAGCCCTCTGAGGTGGAAAAGTCAATGTACCTTGTATTCCAGGGATTGTTGCAACAAGGATTCTTTGGTTTTGTCTTCTAAGATTCTCCGCTCTTCTTCCAACATATCAAGCAGCCTTTGATGCTGAAGGAAGGAAGGAAGAGGAAGAGAGAGGGAAAAGAGAAGGAAATAGGTAGGAAGGAAGAGGAGGGGAAAAATGAAGAGGAAGGAAGGGAAGGGAAGGGGAGGGGAGGGAAGGGGAGGGAGGGAGGGAGGAAAGAAAGAAAGAAAGAAAGAAAGAAAGAAAGAAAGAAAGAAAGAAAGAAAGAAAGAAGGAGGGAGGGAAGAAGGAATGAAGAAAGAAAGAAAGAAAAACAAGAAAGGAAGGAAGAAGGAAGGAAGAACAAAGAAGAAAGAAACAAAGAAACAAAGAAAGGAGGGAGGGAGGGAGGAAAGAAGAAGAAAGAAAGAAAGAAAGAAAGAAAGGAAGAAAGGAGGAAGAAGAAAGAAAGGAGGAAGAAGAAAGAAAGAAAGAAAGGGAGGGAGGGAGGAAGGAAGGAAGAAGAAAGAAAGAAAAAGGAAGAAAGAAAAAAGAAAGAAAGAGAAAGAGAAAGGAAGGAAGGAAAGGAAGGAAGGAAGGAAGAAAGAAGAGAGAGAGAGAGAGGAGGGAAAAATGAAGACGAGGGAAGGAAGAAGGAAAGAAGGAAACAGAAGAGAAAAAAGAAGAGAAGGGAAGGGAGATTACATTTACATAAAAGGCAGACAACAAGTAAAACCAACTTTTCTGACTTTCAAAGTTTATAACTGGTTTTATTCATGGACATCCACCGGGATGACAGTGGGGGAAGTGACATAACACATGTCATGGTATCATCAGGCAGATGACAACAGGAAGTGCACCAAGACATTGTGGCACAATCTGAGTTGTCTTTATTGGACAGAATAGACTTGAAAAGTACAGTAGACTCCTTGATGTGCCCAATGGAACGGCTCCTCAACCTGCCTGCCATCCTCAAGGAGGCCATCATGATTCAGGGGGTAGTAAAAAGAAGGATTTTTGAAAGTCAAATAGAGTCCTCGGGGAAATTTGGGTGAGGATAGACCTAGAGATTTTGAAATGTATTTATATTTAGAAATCACCCCTCTCTCTCAGAAAGTGAATCTGGACAGTGTGCAAGTAGACATAAAAACAAAAAAAGCTTTATACAAATATACAAAATAATGAAAAACAGGAATAAAATGATTAAAATCCCAAAGGAGGGGAGCGGTTTCAGGGCGCTAAACAGCCCCCCCATGGCTGCCTACTCTTCTGTGGACCCCAAGAGAGTAGAACAACCCTTAAAACACAACAATATCCAATGAGAATCCCCCGGACCCACTCAAAATCTTGGCAGGTCTCTTGAACCTACTAAGGTCCCCAAGCTTCAGAGATAACTCCACCCTAATCTCAAGCTGCAACAACGGCTTTTCATTACATCAGTGGTTCTCAACCTGTGGGTCGGGACCCCATTTGGGGCCGAACGACCATTTCACGGGAGTCGCCAAACAACGCAGTCCGCCATTTTTTTCCCCCTTTCCTTAGCTGTGCTACTTCCTTTTATTCTATTGGCTTTTGAAAGCCAATAGAATAGACTCTCTTGAATAGAGTCTAATTCTATTGGCTTTCAAAAGCCAATAGGAATTGTCCAGGCTGTCTCTGCCCTGCTGAGCCCGCCAAAAGCCCCATTCTGCAAACGGTGCTGCACCAGTTGAGTAATCTTTGACTTAACAACCGGTTGAGTAGTCCTCGACTTACGACCGGTTGGAGGTCACGGCATTAAAAAGGTTGAGAACCACTGCATTACATTATAAACTATTTTGTGGGGGTTCCCTGCTCAGCTTTCTGGGACAATAGATCCATTTGAAACGTTACAGACATTGTCCTAAAATAGCTGCCATAAAAGATATCGCCAAAAGCCCAGATTGATCAGACGTTTCCTGGTGTCTTTTTGGACACAGACATGAAGCATATAGCTGATGTTTTCTTCTCCAGCTTGTTCCTTTCCTTCTTCCCAAGACACACACTTATTTTTTTTTCCAGTACTTTTGTGTCCGCCGCACCAATATTTACAAGGCGCCACGTTAAGAGATTCAGGCTCTGAATAAACAAGCTATGAATATTGGAGCATGTAAACCAGGACATGATATGCCAGGTTACATGGATAATTCTCTATGTTATGATTGTCAGGGAGAGAGGAAAAGTGGGCGAATGGCAAGAAATAAATGTACCGAGCTGAGAACTGTAATCACGGCACCGGAAATTGGCTGTAGAGTTGGAAGGATGATGCACTTGAAAAAGCAAGGCCAAACAATGATTCCAAGAAGAAATGAAATTTGCTCAAATGTAGTAGCCAAACAGGACGCTGGAAATCATTTGCCGGAGACATCTGCTCCAGTGCACCACTCGTGGGACTTTCTGCTTTCTCACGTCTCCATCTTTCTGCTCAACACAGAAAGTGGAGCTTAGGAACGTCAACATAGCTTGCGCTCTCTTTTCTTCTTCCTTTCTCCTTCCATCCTTCTCACAGTCTCATCTCTCAAAAACGTGGAAATACTACAACGGATGAAGGGACAACATCCAAGGACATGCAGGCACCCCGGATCAAATGCACAGGTATAGTATAGGTGGTTGTTGTTGTTAACTGCGAAGTCGTGTCCGACCCATCGCGACCCCATGGACAATGTTCCTCCAGGTCTTCCTGTCCTCTACCAAGTATAGGTGGTACCTTGCTCAATAGTAGCAACTGTGAGAGGGATCTCGGAGTCCTAGTGGACAATCACTTAAATATGAGCCAGCCGTGTGCTGCAACTGCCAAAAAAGCCAACACAGTGCTGGGCTGCATTAACAGAGGGAGAGAATCTAGATCACCTGGAGTGTTAATACCACTTTACAACAATCTCAGGGGCTGCCCCAAAGAAGAGGGAGTCAAGCTATTCTCCAAAGCGCCTGAAGGCAGGACAAGAAGCAACGGATGGAAACTCATCAAGGAGAGAAGCAACCTGGAACTAAGGAGAAACTTCCTGACAGTGAAGACAATTAACCAGTGGAACAACCTGCCTCCAGAAGCGGTGGATGCTCCAACACGGGAGGTTTTGAAGAAGAGACTGGACAGCCATTTGGCTGAAATGGTGTAGGGTTTCCTGCTTGAGCAGGGAGTTGGACTAGATGACCTCCAAGGTCCCTTCCAACTTTATCATCATCATCATCATGGCCACTGTCTTTCTGTTGCAGCATCTGGATAGCTGGAAAGACTCATTGGAGAGTTTATCCAATATGATCAGTTTGGAGTCTATCTATCTATCTATCTATCTATCTATCTATCTATCTATCTATCTATCTATCTATCTATCTATAGTAGGAAGAAAAATTCTGAAACGGATTATTTTCAAAGGTACCAAATTATGGGCAGATCTATAAGATAATTCATAGTACAGAGAGATCCTTTTCTTTTTTCTGATACATTCAGCCTATGGGCCTAAGAAATTATCCGCAGATAATTAAAGGAACTGCCACCACAAGGAATATTAAAGCTACTACGAGGTGATGCCGTTTCGAGAAATATGTGGAGGTGAGGATGAGACTCAGTGAACTCCTGACTTGATCTTCTTCCTTGCCAGCTTCGTCCTTTGGCTACTATTGCTGGCTGGATTGGAGAAAGGCACAATGCAACGAGGAGACTGTCTCCTACTGTTTATTGTCGTGAGCAACAACATTGTATGGTTGATGGTTTCAGCAAAGCTACATTCAGACCTAATTGCTAATTCAACTGCTAGTTCCTTCTCTCGGGTAACGTTTTATGCAGTAAAACTGCACATCCAGTACGTAAAACAATGCAGCTGAAAACTCCTACAGTTAAGCTGGAAAATGCAACAGGTCCAAGCTCAAGAAGGGGGGGAAAAAAAATCAGATGAAACAACTTTTGCCTATGGAAAAGAAAAAAGAAGCCAAAAGAAGAAAAAAAACACTGCAAAAAGAAAACCCAAAACAAAAGTTCAGACACAGGTTACTTTTTTCCTGCTAGCTGTTTTGAGCAATTGCTCCAGATGAAAATGTTTGATGTCGAGTCAAAGATAAATACAGCCCTGTGGTTTTCCTTGATTCTTGTTAAAGAAAAGAGAGAGAGAAAGAATTCTATTTCCTGGAATGTGAGTCAAAGAAAATAATGTAAAAAGATTGAATCATGTTCATAAGCAGGCAGGTACATTTTTCCAAAATGAAGTCTGTGTTTGAGGAATCATCACAAATGCACTCAGAAACTCGGTTGTGAAGTCACACTATTTCAGAGAACCCATTTATCAAGAATGGGTAAATCCTCCCCCCTTCCAAAATCATTTGAACAGGTCACTTAAATCCAGTCCATCAATTTCTACAATCTATGTTTACAAGCACTAAGTTCAAATAAACAAACGATATATTCTTCAAAAACAATGGCTTCACCACAAAGCATCATGCCAAGAAGGACTTTTAAAAATGTAATTTTATAGCTATATTAAATACAGCTTCAGCTCCGTGCCTTAATCTCATTGGTATAATGCATATGTTTTTTTATTTATTTATTCTTTACTACTTTTAAAATAGTAACAGAAAAAGGGAGGGAAAAAAACAACAGAAAACACAAAGATACATAATCAAAAACATACATAACAAGGGCTTAACAATAGGTGAAAACAATACAATGGAAAAAAAATAAAAATAGAGTTTAATGTGTTGTTACAATAGTAAACTTTTATAATGTTATATGTAATTATTAATGCAAACATTTTGCAGATGTTCTGTACATATGTGCAGAGAAATAATACACTTGTATAACTATCATAATCTAATTCAAACATTATGCAGATATACTGTGTATATATGTGTGTGTATGTATAATACACTTGTATAACTACCATAATGATCTAATTCAAACATTATGCAGATATACTGTGTATATATATATGTGTGTGTGTATAATACACTTGTATAACTATCATAATGATCTAATTCAAACATTATGCAGATATACTGTATATAAGTGTGTATAATACACTTGTATAACCATCATAATGATCTAATTCAAACATTATGCAGATATACTGTGTATAAGTGTGTATAATACACTTGT